CATGGTAGATTTTTGTTTCTATTATGGGATTTATTATGGCCGTTGCAAGCGAAAGTCACGGGAATCACATATAGGACAATGCCCATACCAACTTGGAAAAGGTTGCTTCTTTTTGGGGACCAAATTAAATTTCATATGTAAAATTCAGAAATATTTCATTTGTGCTTTCTACAATTTTATTACTAGCTATTTAAAAAAAGTTATAATTAAAAAACACTAGCATTTGTATTTGCTTCATCATCTTGTATCAAAAATTCTGATAGATAAACAATATTTTGTTTGTTCAAACTAAAGCAAATTGATTGATGATACAACAAGGTAAATTCTGTAATTTTCCCAATATCTACCTTTATATTAATATAAATATTTTCTGGCAGATATATTACAAAAAATGCTAGAAATAAAAATAAATTCAATGACAATGCGAAGGAAAAAATTATCATGTAATTATGATGTCAGTGGTTCACCTAATACGAGGACATTTAAAATAGTTATTTATTTATTTATTGCCAACACCACATAGCTTTGGCAAATACTATTGATTTATCTTAAAGGGAAAAATGACTATTGTATACATAGAATACAAATTCATGTATTTATTCCAGGTATGGGTTTATTTAACTATTGGACCTGCCTAAATATTATATATTTATTGATTTCTTTTCTTTTTTTATAATATTATAATGTATAATTCATGTCAACCACCTAACATTTTGACCTGTTACTGCCAATGCAATCTGCACTTAATATATAAAATTATTGCAATAATAATAAAAAATAATATTAATCTACATATAGAGGTTAGTCATTTGAGGAGAATAATTGTATTTTTTTTTCCATTTAACTGTTGATTTATATGTCGAGAACACAATGAAAAATTAGTAAAAAGTCTAATTTTATTTCCCATTTGAAGATTTTGAAATTGTGTTGATTTTTCTCTTGTTATTGGGTTGGGGCAATTTAACTCTCATACACAGACTCTATTAAACGTCTACACAAGTTGGGCCAAAATTAATTATCTGGATCGGCCCACTTTCCGGGAAGAAGCCCACTAAAATTAAAATATATAACCTGACACCACATTCTTCCAGCTGCACTCGCCATCATCCTCAGTATTTCCCTCCATGCTTTTAACCAAATTCCACCATTAAAAACCATCAAATTTCACTGCACAGGTCTGCAATTACCAGATTTTTACGCTCAATTTCTCAAGAAGATGAGTTAATTTGAGCTTAGCCCGATGAAAATGAGGCTTTTCACTATTTTTTGTTTTTTTTGCTTTTTTTTGGCCGACTCTATATGTGCTTGTGGTAATATCTAAATGAGCTGATCTCGAACAAGATTCATATCAGTAGTCATTTTATTATGAATCATTTGTTGCTATTATTGTTGTTGTTGTTGTTGTTATTGTTTGCCTTAATTTTCATCTGGCTTAAGATAAGAAATGGATTTTTTTAATTGGCGAGTCATAGTCTAAGAGTGTTTAGTTTCTAGTTGTTACGTGTTTTTCGTTCGTGTTTTAGTTGTTTGTTGCTAATTCCAAGAGGAGGAGGATGTGCTCTCCTAGTATTTGATTTTGATTAATGATATGCTAATTTATCTCTTGCGAAAAAATAGAAAGAGTGTGAAATCCTTTTTAGGTTTTTAAGCAATCAAAGTTTAGAAGGTTTTGTTAATTTGAAGATTGAGCATTTCTTCTTCGCGCTGTAATGTCTCATAGCTGATGAGAATGATAGTAGTCACCAGCTTTGAAGTGTGTATATTTTGGTGGTAATAGGACAGCAAGAAAGTTAGTACTGCATGGCTGAAATTTCTAAGAAGGTAATAATTAGATGCCCCAAGATTTAGAGAGATGTTTAAGGCTTATAAAATAGAGAAAAATGAATGACTAAATATAGTATGTAGCAGTTGTTTGCTTTTGAAAAGTTACTTTGGTGAGTTGGATATATTGGATGGTTGAGAGGACTTTGAAGATGATTCTTTACCTATCTGAAAAGAGAACATATCATTGGAAACTTTTTGGTTATGATTTTGTTGGATTTGCTTTTCGGGACTAGGAAATGATTGTGAAATCCATTTTATTTATAATTTTGAGAAATTTAGAAGTAAGACAATGGTTTCAACCGAGCAAACTTGAGGGAGCCTCTTGCTAAAATGTAGGAAGCCATTTGGATCCATTTTAAGTAACAGAAACTTCTACAGTTTCCCATGCAATTCCATTCTGCCTTACCTAGGAGCACAATTAAGTGAGTCTACCTTTCTGTAAATATGCATTTGTGACTCTAGCTTTTTGTATGGTCTAGCATTGCACGAGGCCGAAAATCAGCTACTCTTTCAGACTGATTTCGACTTACGTGATCTGCAAAATATGCTGTCAGTATTTGTTGAGCAGGTGGTGGAAAATGCTATTATCATGATCAGAAATCATTTTCCAGTTATCTTATCTGTGCCCGTATCATTTCGCAGTGGAGAGTTTTAAATCCACATGCGAAATTGATAAATTTACTTAGCCACATGTGAAATCCACTCAGTTGATCAAATTTCTATCTGCCGCACGTATACATGACTATTCCATTCATGAATTTCTTTTAAATGCAAAAAAAAAAAAAAAAAAAACAATCTCTGTACAAGTTAGAAAAATACTCATCACAAATCTTCTCTTTTCAAGGGGAGGAGACCCCACTTTAAATTTCAGTATTTACATCGTCTGCCTGTTGGGCCCAACACTCTCGAGCTGCTCGACAACTTCTTTTATAGTCGGCCTCTTGTAAGGGTTCTGGTTGACACATTGTATAGCAATGTCTAGCACTTGCACCATCTCATCTTCAAACCCTTTTCCCCTCAACATAGGATCAAAAATCTCCACCTGTCTCCCCTCGTTTTTCATCTGCTGAACCCACACGACCAATTCCCTCGAGGCCTTGGGCCTGAAAAGCTCGACTGGCCTCTTCCCCGTCAGCAACTCGAGCATAACAACTCCAAAACTGTACATATCCCCTCTTAAGGTAGCTATCCACGACTGGCTGTACTCAGGCGGGATGTACCCTAGAGTCCCGACCAATTCCGTGGTGACATGTGTATGGTAAGGTAAAATCAACCTCGCAAGCCCGAAATCCGCCACGTGGGCCTCGAAATTTCGATCGAGAAGAATGTTGCTCGACTTGAGGTCACGGTGAACTATGTGTGGGTCGCATGTTTGGTGCATGTAAGCCACCCCACAGCTCGCCCCCCGAGCAATTTTCAAACGGACCGGCCAGTCTAGCTGGGCCGGCCCGTCGGGCTTCTCGTGCAGCCAGTAGTCCAAGCTCCCGTTCTCCATGTAAGAGTATATAAGCAATCTGTACCCGTCGTGAAGGCAGTAGCCTTGTAGAGTGACGAGGTTTTTGTGCTGAGCTGTCGACAGGGCCTCGACCTCGGCCTTGAATTCCCTCTCCATTAAACCCATGTCTCCTGAGAGTTTCTTGATGGCGAGATTCGTGCCGTCGGGTAAAGTTGCTTTGAAAACCAAACCGAACCCACCGCACCCGATTATGTTCGACTGGTTGAAATTGTCGGTGGCCTTCAGTATGTCGGCCACCGAGAGGCAGAGGTCCTGTTCCTGTATCTTGCTCTTGTTGTTTGGGAAAAGCACGACGAGGCTGGTTTCTTTTGGGATTTCTGGAAATACCCCCGACGAGTTGAAGGAAATTACGTCCATGTCCTTCTCGATTTCATCTCTCCGCATGACTTTCCTCTTGTACAGAAACACGTACAGAAGAAGGATCAGTGTGAAGACGACTGAGGATATAGCAAGTGTTAATTTGATGATTCTCTTTCTGTTCTCTTTCTCGGTTCTTGAATTATTGCCTGACTCATTATTATCGGTGCACGGGCGCTGCACAATCCGACCACAAAGCCTCGGATTTCCTTCGAAGCTGAAAACCGAGAAAGTGTCAAACTGACCACCAATAGGTACTTGGCCTTCAAGGTCATTGTGTGCGACACTGAAGAAGGAAAGAAAATGGAGATTCTTTAGTGATGCCGGGATTTGGCCGGTGAGGTTATTTCCGGAAAGATCCAATTTCTCTAAATTGGTGAGATTCGATATTGTGTCTGGAATACTGCCAGTGAAATTGTTGTGACTAAGATCCAAATCCATTATGAACTTGAGCCGACCAATCTCAACAGGTATATTTCCAGTTATGCCGTTGTTGTTGAGATATATTGTCGGAGGTAAATGCGAGAGCTGATTATACTGCTGATTCGAGGCATTATCGGGCTTCACAAACACAGGCAGCTCCAGAGTCGTGCTCCCAACTTCATCCAAATTCTGCACGTACGACAATCTTCGCATCTGAATAAGCTCGAGCGGAAAATACCCTGTGAGAAGATTATACGACAAATCCAAGTAGAACAAATTCGGCAAGCCCCCAAACCAGCCCGGAACAGGTCCAGTGAGCAAATTATACGAAAGATCAATAACCTCGAGATTTTCCAGCTGGCGTATCCAAATCGGAAGCGGGCCTGAGAAGTTGCATCCGCCAAAAGCCAATACCTTAATATTCTCAAACCCGTTCATTCTCTCCTCAACAGGTAACAACTCGTTGTAGAAATTTTTGGATAGGATTAACGTGCTCAGCCTCTTGCAGCGCGTGAGGATCCGAATGGCATTTGTTACGTTAGTTAAGCTGTTGTTTGATATGGAGAGGAAGGAGAGGAACTGCAGAGAGCCTATTTCAGGCAAAATCTCGCCCGACAGTTTGTTAGTATCTAAACGGACGGCCATCAGCGTCTTGATTGTGAAGAGAGTCCTCGGCAGACCTCCCCGGAAGAAATTATTCCCGAGATCGACCGATTTTAGACGCACGAGTCTCGAGAAATTAAAGAAATCAAGCTCCCCTTCTAAAAGATTCACCCTCAGGTTCAGAACTGTCAGGTTCGTGCAGTTGGCCAGCGAGGCGGGAATAGTTCCGTTCAATTGGTTTATGTGAAGTTGCAGCTTCTCCAATTTGTAAAGTCGCCCGATTTCTTCAGGTATCGGGCCCGCCAGCTCGTTGCCGAAAAGGGAAAGTGTTTTAAGGTTAACAAGATTTACGACCCGCGGGTCGATTTGCCCCGCCAGCCTGTTTCCAGGTAAGTAAAGCTCATCGAGCGAAGACAGCCGGTAAATATCCGGCGAGACCTCGCCGGATAAATTATTGAAACCGGCCCTAAGGCTCGATAAATTCACACACCGGCCGAATTCTGGGCCTATAAAGCCCGTGAACTCGTTAATGGAAAAATCGAGATTTTTGATCCACCGCGAAAACCCGCAGACGAACGAAGGTATCCCCCCGGCAAAACTGTTGTTGCTGAAGTCGAGCGATTCCAAATTTACCGCCTTCTCGAAAAACCACGGCTCAACTTTGCCGGAAAAGTGATTGCTCGATAAATTGAGTATCCTTAGAGTGGCGGGAAGTTCGCCAAATGCAGTTATCACGCCGTTTAAACGGTTACAGCTCAGGTCGATGACTTGCAGTTGGTTTAGGAGGTGGAAGAATTGGGCCGGAAGTGGGCCCGAAAGCCCGTTATTGGATAGGCTGAGCTGGGTGAGGCCCGTGAGGTTGGTAATTGAAGGGGATATTTTACCTGAAAGGCCTCTCGAGGGAAGCCATAGGCCGGTTACTCTGCCGGAGTCGTTGCAGACGATCCCATCCCATTCACAGCAGTCGAGCGGTGGGGCCCACGGGAGAGGAGTTGAAGAAGAAGAAGAAGAAGACGAGAGGCTCAGGTTGAACTGGACCAGCGAGCCGCGATCCAGGGAATTACACGCGCCGTGGCAGGTATGTGGTGAGATAGAAATCGATATTNAAATTAAAAAAGATGTTCATTTATATACTTGCATAGATGACAGATGTAAATGTGTTTGTCATATTCTGGTTCTCATTATTCTGGTTCTTTTTTTTCTGTATGGGGAAAGCGTGTATTTTACGTGGCTGTGACTTTGTGGCGAAGCGTGTAAAGAATGTAATGGGCTATGCAACAATAGCACAATGCAAAAAATGTTTAGCCTAATTAATAATTAGTAAATCGTAAGTCTTTTGTTAGGCCATTATAGTCATTTCACAAATATGCGCACTTTTATTAAAAAAAAATACCGGTACTTCTTAAAATAACATGAACTTAAGTCTGATGTTTGATTGTATAAGTATATATTTTTTTGTAGGAGAGTATGATGAGTTGATATGTTACGGTTAGACTTAGATATCATCACACTAGAATTTAATCAACTTTTTGAGTTAGTAATTGTAGAATTTTATTTATTTTTTAATCACCACCATCTATATTTTTACTAAAATTTAATTCTGTTTTCAATTTTCCGTGACAAGTTGTCTGTTTCATAAAATGATAAAGCACTTAAAAAAATGGGGCTATTTGTGACAGTTATAATTTTAATAAATAAAGATGTTGTCCACAATTTAAATATATGTATGTCTATTGAAAAAATATAGTTGTAGTCTATAACTCTGTCTCTAATAGAAGGCTTATTGTTTTATTTTATGTCAAAATTGCCCCATCCCTTTAAGAAACTATTCAATTGCACTTGTGTGTCGTTGAAATGTTTGCTGCAAATGTGCCGTGTATGACTTTGGTTGGCCTATCTTCTCTTTTCCTAAGTGAAAGAAAAAATAAATGGAGAAAAATAGATGATTTTTTTTTTTTCTTTATGTAATTTTTAAAAGATGCTGATCTTACTGTTGAAATTTTGTAGTAACTGAAATCTTGCAGATCTTGACCGAGTTAGTTTATTTTCTGCTTGTTTAGGGCAATTGTGAAAATTTCTTTCTTGTTTTTTTTTCCTTTTTAATTTCTTTATATCTTTTAACTTCGATTATTAATGGAACTAAAATTCTTTGTTTTATTTTAATTGCATAAGCACGATGGGGTGCATCTGCCCATGCCATGTGTTGTTACCAAACGTAAATAAATTTAACTCCCAATTGCGTAATGTGTATGTGTGCGCACGTATAAGACATTCAATTTAGCTCCTTTGACTAACCAAAGTTCCTCATTTTCCATTTACGATATCATAGAAAAAGATGTTTAGCTTAACGGGGCAAAATATTATTTGTTTGCGCCTACTATTTTAACTCGCCGTCTAGTATGGATTTAATTTTTTTTAAGTATATTATGAATTAGGGGTTAACCATTTCAGCTCTCGTGGGTACGAATTAATATGTTCCATTAATTAATATGTTTCAAAATTAGCATATTATGCATATTGATTGCGTGATTGAAATATCACGAGATCTTGACACGTGGTACGAAAAGTATGATCGAAAAATCACGTGATTTTTACACGTGATTGGTGCACATATCTACATGTAATCACTTGGAGAACTAAACAAGTGTTCGTGTTTGTTTATATTTTCAATTGGTAATTTTTATCGGAAAATACTCTTTTCTGTTTAAACATGTGAGAATAGTTGTTGAAATGTCGTATTGCCATCTTACGAAAAAATTAATTGCGCACCTAATTAATTAGGAAAAAGTAAATTAAAGACAGAAAAAAAGAAGGAAAAAAGAAACTCAAGAAATCTACGTGATACTATTGTATCATGTTTATAATTGTTTAAAACATCAAATCATTAAAATTTTGTATATCTTCATAACTTTTGCGATCATATCTTATTTCTTAGCTTTCATATCTAAGGCGAATTAAGAAAAATGGCTCGCTCAATCAATAACATACACCTCTACATATTTCCATTTTTCTTTATGAAATTATTCATGACTTGTTAATTGTTATGGAGTTGTATTCTACTCATGATGTGTTTCATGTGGACATATTATTCGAGTCGAGCCATAATGACCAAAATTCTTGTTGAATGCAATATTTGATAAGCCAACTTTAATCAGATAAATTACTAAATATTCCATACCACGAGCACCACTAAAAACACTATACTAGT